TTATGCCCTGAACACTCAGCTCTTCATGGAAACATTGCTATGTCTGCCAATGTGATTAGCACCCTATGAAAAGCAGAAAAAAGTCGACTCTACTTGATTTCTGATTTAGGTTACTGATACTTTACTCCAGGGTATTGGGAGAAGGCACTGCCCAGACGCTGTACATAATCTCCTGTGCTTGTTAATGTGTATGCGAATAACCACAGCACAAAGCAGAATGTGGTTAGAGTTGATACTTGTTCCAGGAGTACAGCACCTGAATTTTGGACTTGATGGATGAGAAGGGAAGAATGAGTTGGGGCTTAGTCGAAGGAGCAGCATTCAACAAATTAGATCAAGATGAGGAAAGTCTATCTTAGGTAGAGAGAACATCACCTCTAGGGAGTAGAGTATCTTAGCATAGGATATTTCAATGCAGTTAGAACTTTGCTGAAAAAAAAAATGTTGAAGAAGATAGGAAAAGACAAATGGGTCCATATTGGAAAAGAGTCTTGAAAACATGGTAAGGGGTTTTGACTGTATTTCTTGGAAAGAATTAGCCTATGGTCATGATTATTTTTTTATTCTAGATTTTATTTTATTTTTTATAAAGTTGTTCACAATAATTCATTACATTTAATATTCAAACACCAATACCACCACCATTGCACCTTCCCACCATCATATTTCAAATGTTTCCACCCCAAATCCCAAACCATGCTCCCCAATAATTTTGTACTTGTTATGAATAATCCGCTAAACACGTTCCAATAGTCTTTAGAGGAAAATGTGTGAAGATTGTTGTATTTCATCCTGAAGCCATTAAGCCCTTGTATAAGAGATTACTAACATGTTTGCTAAAACCAATCAAATGTTGTGTTCTACTCTTGGTACATCAGTGATGTAGACTATGAGAGGTTGTGCGACTGCAAATGCGGCCGCATGCTCCAGGAAATCTAAAATTTAGAACACGATTATACAGCAGATTCACCCATGGGTGAGGCCTATGCTGCTCTCCCAGAAGGGAGCTTTATTTCTCATCTCTGGATCATGGCCGATGATGAGATTATATGGTGCCATGGGCAGTTTGTGGGTGTGGCTGCCAAGCTACTGGTAAATGGGAGATGGGGGGAGGAGACCCAGTCTTGCTGAGAGAGCTTGGAGATTTCAGTCATGGGTCCCACATACCTGGGTTTTTCCTTGCAGTTTCCCTCATAGGTGAGGCTCATCCACGTCTGTGGAGAGTGGCTGTGAGCATGTCAGTGGTTGGGTTCTGGAGATTTTTGGCTGCCGGGGATCTACTAGGGCACTGAGGGAAACTCAAGCTGCTCCTCCCCCCTGAGTTTCCTTGGTGAAGACAGCCTGGCATGGGGCTCATCTACATTGGAAGCATAATTGTACAAAATACTATAGTAACATTTGTCAGTACTTTCTGAACATGGCTTAAAAGATCATTTTTTTAAACACAATTAAACTGAACTGTTTATTCATTATATGTCTTTCTTGTTAAACAATTACTAACGCGGGTGGTGGGGGCTGGGGCAGAGCAATAGTACAGAAGGTAGAGCATTTACCTTGCACACGGCCGACCTGGGTTCAATCCCCAGCATCCCATGTGGTCCCCTGAGCACCGCCAGGAGTAATTCCTGAGTGCAGAGCCAGGAGTAGCTCTTGAGTGCAGAGCCAGGAGTAACTGTGGAGCATGCTGGGTATGGCAAAACACCAAAAAAATAAATAAATGATAAACAAGTAGTGACAGGGGCTGGGAGACAGCCCAGAGGACCTCTGAATGGCCCCTGTGCACCACTGGGTGTGGCAAACAAAACAAAAGCCTCTCTGTCAATTGCCAAGTGGAAAGCAAGAAAACATATATTATTTGATATATTCAGGTTTATTTGGGAGAACATTTTTTAGAATTAAGGTGGTTTTTTCCAGGATAAAGACATAAAAGCCTGACATGCACTGCTAACTCACTCAGTGTTAGAGATGTTATAAGGATACTGTGGGACTGGATAGATAGTACAGGGGTACAAAGCCACTTGCTTTGTAAGCACCTCCAAGTATACCCACCCCAAGCAAAACAAAACAAAAAGGATGCTGTGAAGTACATGAGATATCTCTAGGTTTTGAAGAAGGCACACAGCTTTAAGTGATGAGGCTAATTCTGTATAAGATTATATGAGGGCCACCACTCATATTCCAAGAGTAGTGCACCACATTTGATATTTGATCGGGTTTAAAGTAGAAGACAACCAATCTTAGAGAATAATATATTTTTACAGATACACACACACACACACGCACACGGCTCAACCTCGAAGGAAACTTTTTGGAACACTTTCAATGGTTTATTCATAATAAACAGTACAAAATAAATTATTTTGGTTCTGCTTTGGGACAGGATTTGGGGTTCAGGATGGAAACATTTAGAATATGGTATAGGGAAAGTGTAATGGTGGTAAGATTGATGTTTAAATACTAAATGTAATAAAATATTGTGAACTGTAGCACTGTCCTCCCATTGTTCATCAATTTGCTTGAGCAGGTCCATTAATGTTTCCATTGTGAGACTTGTTGTTACTGTGTTTGCTATATCGAATACGTCACAGGTAGCTTGCCAGGATTTGCTGTGAGGGCGAGATACTCTCAGTACCTTGCTGGGCTCTCTGAGAGGGGCAGAGGAATCGAACTCAGGCAGGCCAAGTCAGCCGCGTGCAAGGCAAACGCCCTACCCATTGTGCTATTTCTCCAGCCCATTGTGAACTAATTTATAAAAATAAAATAAATAAAAAAGATCATTTGAGGGCATTATGTTGCTTTCAAACACGGGAAACACAAAAGCAACAAAATCAGTATTGTTTTCAGTCGATCAAAACTGTTGGAAGAACAAGTACTGTTTGGGAGGAAGTAGTATGGTCTTTGGAAGTTCTTCTCATTTGCTTTGTATCATGGTACTTTTAGTATGAAACAGCCATCTAGGTTGCTTGGGTAAGCATTCTGTGTTCTATTGTGTCAACTGTTAGGACCTTACTGATTGACGGACCATACATTCTACCAGAAAGCCAGTTATGGTCTGTGGTTGTCAAGGGAGTTAAAGCAGTACTTCATCTGACTTCATCTGTACTTTTTCCTGTACAAATAAGGAAATTATTGACTTATTTCTAATCTCTCCTGGACAAAGGTTGGAACTCCTTTGGTAATTACTGGGGCAAAATCTGGACAATCAGGTTAATGGATAGGGACTAAGTGAGAGAGAGAGTATAGCTTTACATATGTTGTTGTATTTTTTCTAACTTGAGATTTTAGAAAAGATTTTAAGTATACAGGTTTTATTCCCTGGGGCTTAACATATATTTACCCCAATTGTTAGAAGGCTTTAAAATAAGGATTTAGGGCCAGAGCTATAGTACAGCGGTGGGGGTTTGCCTTGCACATGGCTGACCTGAGTTCGATCCCAGACACCTCATATGGTCCCCTGAGCTCAGAACCAGGAGTAAACTCTGAGAACCACTGGATGTAGCCCAAAAATCAAAACCTAAATTAAGGATTTATAACAAAAGCCAATTACTAATATAGTCTTACAATACAATTCAATTATGCCATACTTAGTAATTTTAATGTATTATCTCCTTAAATTTATATCAAAGAACTTCTACAGGTATTTTCATTTTTCAGATGAACAAACAGAATTTGAAAAGATAATATACAGTTTGTTCAAGGTAACCATGTTATTTCATCTGAAATTTATCTGGGGCTACAGAACCACATATGGTCTCCCAAGCACTACCAAGAGTGATTCCTGAGCACAGAGCCAGTAGTAATTGTTGAGCATCACTGGATATGACTCCAAACCAGATATGACGAATATAGATATGACTCCAAAAAGAAAACAAATTTGCTCTGTCTCCCTTAAAGTCCTTGCCTGCTATGCCTACTATGCTGTGCCATGTCCCCAACTTGCTCCCTTATACCAAGTGGAAGCTATCAGTGCTGTAGAGCTTCAAGAGAGAGGGCAGCCAAAAGAAACTTGGATGTAGGTAGAGCCTAATTTGGACTTGACTCTACTGATATGCTAACTGTACTTCCCCTGGGAAGCAACTCAGAAGAATGGAGCATTTCACTCCAAATGTGACTTTGGAACAGTCTGAAGTTCAGGGAAAGGACAATCGATGTTCGCACAGTCGGGTCAGTCATAAAATGATGCAACTGGAAGGAACCTTAAACATCATCTACTCTAACCTTCTCATTTTTCATGAAAATATAACCCAAAGAAACAGCAGAACTAAGTTTTTCAGGGATGATTCTTATTGTTGTTTAGACCCTTTTTTTTTTTTGGTATCAGGAACTCACATATGCAAAGCATGCAGGGCAAGCACCTTAACTTCTGTACTGTCTCTCCAGTCCAGTCATGCTCTTTGTTTCGTTGTTTGTCTTTGAGTCAAACCCAGCTGTGCTTAGGGCTTACCACTAGCTCTGTGCTCAAGGATCACTCCTGATGGTTCTCAAGAGACCATATTCAATGCCAGGGATCAAATTTTAATCAGCCACATGCAAGGTAAGTGTTTTACCTGATGTAGCATCTTTCCGGGCCTCCAAGCATGCACTCTTAACACTGAGTCACTTCACAGTCACGGTCACGGTCCTCCCATTGTTCATCTATTTGCTCGAGCGGGCCCAGTAACGTCTCCATCGTGAGACTTGTTGTTACTGTGTTTGGCTTATTGAATACGTCATGGCTTTGCTGTGCAGGTGAGATACTCTCGGTAGCTTGCCGGGCTCTTCGAGAGGGGCTGAGGAATCAAACCCGGCTCGGCCGGGCTGGCAGCACGCAAGGCAAACTCCCTACCGCTGTGCTATCGCTCCAGTCCGAGTCACATCACAGTCCCATTATTATATTTGAGAAAACCAGTAGTGTGGATTGCTAGTATAGGTCACACTGCTTTGTTTTGTACAACACTGAATGCTGGAAAATTCCCTCGGTGTCTAATATTTTGATTTTTTTTGTTGCATATGTATTTCAGTTATCCGTGCACAAGATGGAACCCTCTCCATTTAATAGACAGCAATGGACTTCAGTATCCTTGAGAGTAACAGCCAAGGAACTTTCTCTTGTCAACAAAAATAAGTCATCAGCTATTGTAGAAATCTTCTCCAAGTAAGTACTATTCCTAGTCAAAAGAAAACAAAAATACCATCTCCCTTGAACCACCGTTACCATGTCAGCAAAGGAGTTAAAGCTATGTGTGGTGTAAAATGGCTTTATTGAGCAACTTCTGAATTATAAACACCATATAAGACACTGTGAGAAGGAGGATATACAAATGGTAGAATTTAGGGTATGTAATCAGAAGATATATTCTCTGTCATTGAAATTTTGTTCAGCTGAGGAAATAAAAAGTTAAAATCATGAAAGATAATTATAAAGTACACTGTCAACACTGTCCTCCCATTGTTCATCGATTTGCGTAAGCAGGCCCAGTAACGTCTCCATTTTGAGACTTGTTGTTACTGTGTTTGGCATATCCAATATGTCATGGGTAGTTTTCCAGGCTTTGCCGTGCGGGCAAAATACTCTTGGTAGCTTGCCAGGCTCTCCGAGAGGGGCGGAGGAATAGAACCCGGCTCGTCTGGGCTGGCTGCGCGCAAGGCAAACGCCCTACCGCTGTGCTATCGCTCCAGCCAATTATAAAGTACAGAGTTATTAAATAAAACGTCAGCAAGTCCACAGTAAGGAAAAGGTATCAGAAAAAAAATCATCTAGGACACTTGAGGCCAGAGAAATAGGGGAAAGGCATTTGCCTTGTATATGGCTGATTCAGGTTTGATATGTTCTGCATATGGTCCCTTGTGCCCTGTTAGGAGTGATTCCTGAGCACAGAACCAGGAGTATGTCCTGAACTCAGTCAAGTGTGTCCCCCAAAAGATAAAAAGCTCTTTAGAAAAGCACTCAACTGGGTGAGTTTTTCAGGCAAGGTTTAATTTAGTCGAAGAAACTACACCTGCGTTGTCTGATATGATAGTCACCACCTGAGTTACTATTTAAATATAGACTGCATAAAAGTAAATAACATTTTAAATTGCACCAGCCACAGTTCAAGTGTTTAATAGCTCCATGTAGCTGGTGGCAACCCTGTTAGCCTTTGCAGAAGCATTCACCACTGCACAATGTTCTGTTGAACAGCCCACTGGCTGTCTGTTTGTAAATGAAGGCTGATTGGAACACAACTAGAAAAAAAAATTTTTTTTTTTTTGCTTTTTTGGGTCACACCCAGTGATGCACAGAGGTAACTCTTGGCTCTGCACTCAGGAATTACTCCTTGTGGTGCTCCGGGACCATATGGGATGCTGGCAACTGAACCCCCGTGCAAGGCAAACGCCCTACCTGCTGTGCTTGCAAGGCAAACGCCCTACCTGCTGTGCTATCGCTCTGGCAACAACACAACCAAATTTACTTTTATATTGTCTATCAGTACTTTCATGCTTTAATAGCTTAGTTGCAAAGTTGCTGTAGAAACTATATGTATGACCCTCTAAAATATTTACCATCTAAATGCATATGTACTTGACACACACATACACTATTCAAATATATTTTCTTAAAACCTTTAAGATAAGGTTTATTGAAGCTTGCTCCGGTCTGCTCTTTGGTGTGTATGCCCCTTTCCTGTTTATTTTATAGCCCTATTTTATAACATGGTTATTTGAACACTCAGAAAATGTTGAAGGTGGACCAGAGAGATGGTGTGGAAGTCAGGAGGTAGTGCTTTTGCCTTGAATGTGGCTGTGTTAGCTGTGAACCTGGTTTGAATCCTTTGCACCACATATGCTCCCTAAATACTGCACTGCTGGATATTTCTCAACCTTGCACCTTCAAGAAAAAGAAAATTTTGAAGAATTATTATGTGGAATATAACAATATATTCGGATATATAATAAATGTGGAATATAATAATATTTTCGGAATATAATAAAATATGCTCGGATCAGGGCTGAGCATCCTTCACCCAGATCCTCCAAATTCCAATAGGCAGGGGTCACACCCACCAACTGGCCCGTTGGTGCCGTGTAATCCCTTCAACGGCCAAGACTCAGAGACTATAAAACCCAGCTCCTGGAAGAGAACAGCAGAGTCTCCTGCCCCCGCGCCTGGCTGTCCTTGCCAGGGCCCCTTGGAGGGGAGCGGGTTGAGTTTCCCTCCCCGCCCCGACCAGGGCTCTGGCAGCCGAAGACCTCCAGAACCAGCCACCACCTTGCTGATACCACTGTCCACACACATGAAGGTACCAGCCGAGGAACATAGGCATGCGGGTCCCGGGGCTAAGCTCTCCACGCCTGCTTGGATCAAGGCTGAGCATTTTCCACCCAGATCCTCCAACTTCCAGTAGGCAGGGGTCACACCTACCAACTGGCCCCCTGGTGCCATGTAATCCCATCAACAGCCAAGACTCAAAGACTATAAAACCCAGCTCCTGGAAGTGCACGGCCGCATTTGCGGCCGCACGACATCTTATTGTGACATCTTATTATCTCATTCCTACTTTGGACAAACTGGCAGGCTACCGAATGTAACCTGCCCACACGGCAGAATCTGGCAAACTCCCCGTGGCATACCCATTATGCCAAATACCAGTACCAATGATGGGTCTCATTCTCCTAACCCTGAAAGAGCCTTGAATATGGCACCTTTTAAAAAAATCTCAGGGGTAGGACGAAGGAGACATTACTGGGGCCTGCTCAAGGCAATCGACAAACAACAGGATGGTCGTGATCGTGATTATGTGGAAAGAATATAGCAGGGGTGGCTAACACATTCACTTCAAAGAAACCATAATGGAAAGGAGCTTTGGAAAGGTGGTGAGCATACATTTCTAATACAGCATGTTAATTAATAGGAAGCTATGAAACTTTTTTTTACCATCATGAAATTTATTGGAAACGACAAAAGATTCTGAATTTTAAAAACATGAGAATAAAACAAAAGTGGAGGAAGCATGCTCCCATAATTCAAGCTACACTACATGATGATAACATGGTATTGGTACATGAACAGCATGGTATTGGAATAAAAACACACAATTAACAGAACAGAATTGAAATCTAAGATAAAAATCACATGTACATGGCCAACTTGTTAATGACAAAGTAGCTAAGAGCTTATGCTGGAGCATGGAAAGTCTCTTCAATAACTTTTGTTGGACCAACAATCATCACAGTGGCCCCTTCTCTGTTCTAACTCCACTCTCCCATACCCTTAATTGTGGCAAGAGAAAGCTATGAAACATTTAAGAGAAGAAAAAAAGGTAAAGATGTAAAGAAAGTAGTTCTAGGAATTGTATCTAAGATACATCTAAGTACCAATAGGAACCCTCTCGGAGAGCCCGGCAAGCTACCGAGAGTATTCGATATGCCAGACACAGTAACAACAAAGTCTCCAATGGAGACGTTACTGGGCCCGCTCGAGCAAATCGACGATCAACGGGAGGGCCTTTACCTTTTACCTTTACCTTTACCAATAGGAGACTTCCAACAATCTATAATGTCACCTTTTCATCAATCACAAATCTACTGGAGCCAAAGTCATTGTACAGTTAAGGAACTTGCCTTGCATGTGGCAGGCCTGGTTCCTGGCATCCCATATAGTCCCCGATTATGCCAGGAATAATTCCTGAGTACAGAGCCAGGAATAACACCCATAACCAGGTGTGGCCCCCAAACAAAATCAAACAATCTACCAATACTTGCTGTAAAAAAATATTGCCATTCCTGGTTTTTATTTGTTTCTTTCTGGGAGGAAGAGGCTGGTCTGGACCACATCTGGCCTCTCGGGCTCTCTCTCTCTTTCTCTCTCTTCCCCCGACCCCATTTTTGTTCATTCATTTGGGGGATTGGAACCACATCCAACTGTGTTCAAGGGTTTTTTTTTTCCTAGCTCTATTGCTCAGGAATGACCCTGGCCATCCTCAGGGGAACCATATGTGGGAGACTGAACCAGGGTCCACTGCATGCAAGGCAGGTGCTTTTACTCCTGCACCATCTCTTGGGCCCGCCTTTTCCTAACTGCTGACTTTGAGTATCAATTAAGATAGAGTCAATCAAGGTGAAGTAAGACTATACAGCTCTTTTACCTCTTTATTATGCATTTTATATTGCTGTAATTTTATGGCAAGCGTGTGTTCTTCTTTGGGTTGGTTTTCTTTTTTTTTTTCCTGCTTTTTAAAGGGTCACACCCAGGAATCACTCCTGTCGGTGCTCGGGGAACCATATGGGATACTGGGACTCGAACCCAGGTCAGCCATGTGCAGTGGCCCTACCCACTATGCTATTGCTCCAGCCCCCTCTTTGGGTTGGTTTTGGGTCAACACCTTGGCAGTGTTCAGCGGTTACTCCAGACTGTGTGATTAGGGTTGAGGTCATTCCCGATTGTTACTCAGGGGACAAGGCAGTGCTGAGCATCAAACTGTGGCTGGCAGCATACAAGAGAAGCATCTTAGCCCTGTACTATTAATGTGGCCCCAACATATATTACGAAAAAATCAGTGAAGTCATTCGGGGAAAAAAGTCTGAAAAGCTGTTAAAAACTAATCCTTGGGATTGGTGAGATAGTACCGCAGGTAAAATTCTTGCCTTGAAAATGCATGACATTTAGGAATTTAATACTCGGCACCCTGTATGGTCATTGCAAGGAGTGATCCCTGAGTACAGAGCACAGAGTAAGCTCTGAGCACTGCCGGGTGTGGCCAAGCTCCAGCCCTCCTTCCTTCTGCCAATAGAATTATCCTAGTTTGAGTGTATATATATATTAGAAAGAATTCCCCAGCTTCCTTCACCTTAAGAATCACATGGGGTGGATAGTACAGCGGAGTGGAGCGATATACAGTGGGTAGGTCTTTGCCTTGCACATGGTGACCCAGGTTCAAACCCTGGCAATCCCATATGGTGCCCCTATACATTGCAAGGAGTAATTCCTGAGTGCAGAACCAGGAGTAACCCCTGAGAATCACTGGGTATGACCCAAAAAAAGCAAAATAAATAAATAAAAAGAATCACATGGGGTACCTGCTGATAATTGATGTACCAGTATTCTGGTTATCCATTGCTGCATTGTGTGGGGCGGGGGCCAAAATTTAGTGACTTAATGACATTACTTTTCCTTTC